TCATAAGTTTAACTAATTTCTATAGATTCTGAATTTACCTTAAATTTATTTCAAATTTAATTTTAAAGTAAACGTTACAAATTTGTACTTGTCCCTAAAGGATTAATTGTAATGTCTGCAGGATATTTGCACGTAATCGTTTATGCATATATTGTAGTGACAGAGGATTTGAGTTTTAGAAATTTGCTGATCTTCATCGTATGTAAGGATTTTCTTCTCCTCCGTTAGAAAATACATAAAATCTAGTGCGAGAAACGTCCCCATACATGTCGGCTTTCGAAATGACACATTTGCGCAGGGAAATTTCAGACACTTTATGCACATTTTAACGCGTACAAACACGCTTTTCGCAGAAATCGCGGTACGTATTCGCATGAGAGTGCAACATATTGGTTCTGATTGAACCGCGACTCGGTTCAACTGCTTTGCGCCATGCTGGACAAGCACGAGGCAGATGAAAACGTGAATACAACAAAATGAAGAGAGATTCTAGCTAGCAGTGCGGATTGGATGACAAAAATAACAGACAGGGCTTTCACTTTTGACATGTGTAGTGGTGAACACGCCCGTTGTAAACGCATATACGCATAAATCAACGCGCGCGCGATATCGTCTCACAATGGGAATGCAATTTCATTTAATCCTCAATTTAATCGATTAAAAAACGTCATTGAGTGAAAAACGACAATAATCTGGACGAGAGAAAAAGAACCATTATTAATTTTGGAATTTACAAAATCGATATTCTCAAACATAGAGAAAGTATCGTAGAGAAGAATTTCATTCGACAATTTCGACATATTTTTTTTATTTGGAATCATCGTCCCCCCTGCCAGTTACGGAATGTTATGTAGATCGAATTTGAAATATCCTGAATGTCTAAATTTACTTTGCGTTCCATATTTTTTTCGTGGTAGGAGATGGTACACGATAACGCAATTAAAAGAACAACGCACGCGAATAAAATAATAAAAGACTTCCGCACACGAAGAGATGAAACGGCGGACAATATTTTACAACCGATACTCGTCGAATACTCGTGACTACGACATAAAAAAATTGGCCAGGCGATTTTGAGATTCAGAATCGACTATAAGTGCGATTGCGGAGCTGTAATCAAGTCCGGATGGGATGCATTGATTGACAATTTTTCGTCGCCCCCTACTCTTGATCAATCTTCTGTATTGCCCGCCATGTGTGTACTACGAATATCGTTTCTAAATCAGTCTCCAAATTGATGATCGATAATTTAGGGTAAGGCCAGTTGTGGATCACTCTTAAAAGAATTCATGTTTTTATCCAGAACGATACCGAACAATTAATAAAATATTTAATAGTTATAATTGACCATAAAAAATATTACATTATGGATAATTTTATTTCATTTTGATATCATTTTATATGTTTCGGTACTGTTTTAATTTTAATTAAATGAAATAATGACAATTAGGCACAATTAGACTAATGTACTAATTATGGATACTAATGTACTAATGTATTATACTAATTACGGATCAATTCACCAAATGCTTTATACATTTTGGATTTAATTTCAACTGAGCATGATATTGATTTTTATGAATCAGAAAATCTAATGTTATTTACTATCTCCTGTAAAAGTCATAAGGCAATCTTACACTTTAAATAAATTTTTAAAGATACATACTTTAGCAACTTTAGTTTATCTCTCACGTTTTATTAGTTAATGACATCAATAAAATGTACAGCGCTGTTGCTAATAAATAAAAAATAACTGACGTTTAAAAAAGATATGCTAGAAAAAATCTTGAAAGAATCTTGTGAGATGCATTTGATGAAAAATACATTGTAATTATTTAAATATAATATGTGATCCAGAACTAGTGTCTAATTCTATTTAACGTTTTTATCCTACAACAAGGAGAGAAAATATTATCTTTTCTTGAATTAAATATCATTGTAGAATTAAAATTATTGTACAAATAAATCTTTCCTTTCTCGAAAAAAGATGGATTATGGCTGTTAATTGGAGAGTTGGTTTTGTGATAGGAGGTATCGGCTGTCGCATATGCGATGGATTAAAAAGTTGAGATGATAGAAGGTATCGGTGTAAATGATTACCAATTAGCAATCGGATAGGTCGTTTGCACCGACAGGCGAATTGGCAAATGGATCTGGTCTGGACGCGTCTTTAATAGAATCAAGAATCAATTGCGAGAAAGAAAGGGAAAGATAGAGAGAGAGAAAAAAAGGAAATATATGAGCTATGCCGTTCATAAATTGGAATATTTTCCAGTGTTCATCACGACTTCGCTTTCTATTTGTTTGGATCTTTATATTCTAGAGAGTTTCAAGTGTGATCGGAATGAATATGTGTGTCATTGATTGTTCGTTTGATATATGCTGAAAAAGGAAAAAGGTGATGAGTCCTTTAATTAATTGATATTTATACCATTTACGATTAATCTTTGAATGGACAGTTATATATCGCCATGCCTGTAACATCTATATATTATTTTCTTGCGTTCATTGTTTTACAAATTGACGGCGACCCCGTTTCAACCTCTCGAACTTTGCTATCTTAAGCAGACAACTGCGCATTTCGCCGACAATAGCGAGCAACAATAGGTGGTCAGATTAAAATGCAAATTAGTCCATAAGTCAGGGGCATTATATAATTGTTAGTTATGCCAACTGACGGTTATTGTCATGGCAATAAACTTTCAAGATTTAAGGTGTCAGAGAGCGGTATCTAAATGGTATATGCTTGTACTTAAAAGATTACTTACATACCTGCATACAGATCCTTCGAATTGTAAATGTCAGTTGCCTCTTTCGCGATCGCTCTCAATCTGTTGAGTTATATCTATCTCAATTCACAAAAAGAGTTTCAATCAATTGAAAATATATCGTTATCCAACTGCAAAAGTTTTAAGATAAATATTACACTAGATATTTACTTATATATGTTATTTTTATGCTGATTTTTGTTTTGAGATAAAAATGCCTTAGTTTATTTAGGTCCCGATTAATTCTACAGAGCGAATATTTACAGTTAATACTGCGCAGGCAATTTAAACGTTATCTCACGGAAATACGGAAGCTTTAACATTCATTATTCTTTTTTCTTTCGAGAGAGGAAAAAGCTTAGGGCCACCTGTCTCATTCGACTCGTGCGGGTCCATTTACCGTGCGTATTACCACCCGTGAGTAATTAACATAAAAGGGTTAACTTGAGAGCGTTGTGGACATAAATCACGACAACAACCGGATTTTTTTGTAAAAGAAATAATTTATATTAAAAAATAACAAACAAACGCGAAAGAAATTTTGAAGGAATTTTTAAAAAAATTCTCTTTAGTTAACGATTCATTTCTTATATAAGCTTAATTCAAATATATTTCCCGATATCGAAGCAGATAATATATATGAATTCTTTAATATAATATTCTTTAATGTAACTTTTTTAATTGCGCAGAAGCTTTTATCGCAATAAAGTTGTACGATATTACGGAACAGTAAAAAAATGTGCACACAATTAGAGTAGTATTACATAATTCTTCAATAAATTATGTAATCAAATACGTTATATCGATGTTACGCTACAAATACTCAATAATAATATTTAATAAAAATGACTTTTTTAAACAGAGGATAATCGTTTATTGTAAATTTTTGGTCGCAATCTTGGTTATCAAATTATTGTATCACAATTTTGAAAAATTTGCGATTAAAATTGCAAGAAAGAGCTATTTTGGCATGTCGATGTATAATATTATGATATGTAATGTAAAATAAGATATGTAATGTGTTAAAGAAGTTTGATTGAAATCATGTTAAGTATGTTATTATTAGGACTTTTTCAATCCTTAAAAGGAATTTGTTGTGTCGATTATAATTAAAAAGATATTTAAGCTTATATAGAGTTTATTGTAAAGGTATGAATTATATATAAGTTAAAAATCTACTAAATATATATACATTTTAATATTAAATTTTTTCATGTCATTCAAATTATTTAAATGTTTTTCATATTGTTGAATACTTATCTGATGTAAAAGTTGATAAATTCAATTTAATTTATATGAAAAACCTTTCTATATGTAAACTATCCCAACAATTCAAACTTTATTTTTTTATTTCGATATTTGCTATATTGATTTCGCCATTTTTTTTATATCAGATTAATTGAATTTGACATTAGATTAATGTTTAGTGACTTGAAATATCTATATAACTTTAAACAATAATATAAAAAATATATTTGATAGATTTTTAATGACATATTTCAACTTTGTAGATTATATATTAATCATAAATATATTTTTAATTATAATCGATGAAACAAATTCCTTTTAAGAATTGAAAATCCTAATAAAAATTTACTTTTATTGCAATAAAACGTCTGCAACACATCACATATCATACACACACATATTATAGTTATAAAATGTCAAACCGCAATGTAGCAATGTAGTACATAAAACTGTATTTAGCGATCAAAAATCTGAAATGATAACATTTTATGCATTTTTTTGTTGAATAATATAATCATCGCCTTCGTGTTGTCACGTTGGTACAATGATGCTGATATCTATACATGTATATACATACTGAATTATTTTCCGAGGAGATCAAAGGTTAATATGATGTTTCTGATATATCAACAGTTATGTATTTATCACTTATGGTTCCCGAGTTAATTGCTAAAGATATAGGCATTCTTGTTTATCAAGAAATGCTTCCGTGTTTAATACTCTTAATATGCTATTAATTTTACAACAACATAATCTTTTGCATATTACATCTTGAATTTCGTTAAAACATATAACGTAATTATCTCATATAGCACAGATCTCCAAGGGATATTCTGAAGGATATCCTGAGAACGTTCCCAGAAAGATCTCTGGAATAAAGTGTGCTATATAGAACATATGTACGTACATCTTGATAACAGTATTCTATGATTTTGCATAAAAGAAACTTTTCTACTACGGCACTGTAATGACACAAATATTATCGTGCAGTGTTAACAAGCTTCAGTTTCGATTAGACTTTGCAACTTGACAAATCAGACATTTTATATATATCACGCTATATCTCATTTCTCAACTTAGATATTGGACATGCAATCGTATATCATAATTGCATTGCGTACGTATACATATAGGAATTTACTTTAGAATAAACAAAATATATTTTGTCAATTTTTCACATACGTAAACATAAAGAGTTCTCGGGTATAAATATTGTATATACGTAAGAATAATTGAATAACAGTAATTATAATAATAAAAAATCCTGTAAATAAGAAGTCTTATAACAAGAAGAAATTTGTTGTTGAATGTTTGAATGTTGTTGAAATTTGTTGTTGAATGCATTTGAATGTTGTAATAATTATTGCATGTGCGCAGTGACTATTTTCGCGATGGATTTCGAGAATGCAGCCGCGTGCAATTGCGAGCACTGTGATGAGGAAGGAGTGATCGGTTTGGGAGTGAAGACGACTACTATTCAGGCCATGTACCAAGAGGACCGTGATAATGATGGTAATCGAACAATTTGCGCCAGGAATCGCGAGTTTAAAGATCGCACGTTCCAAAGCGTCTGTTACATGTTATGTTACAATCGTTGCACGAAATACCGAATGGTAGCAGTTAAAGAGAAAGACATAAAGAAGTATGTTATAATTGCATTCAGACCAAGTAAGTATTTAAAAAGATATAACTCACTATTATAACGTATTTTCTATATTTCAAATTTTATAATCTGAAAGTTATAAGTAATGTGCATTTATTACAATCTGATATTAAGCCATTAAATTTTGAAAAATTATGTTGTTATTAATAGCTACATAATTTTTACGTAGATTATTATAAATTAAGAGATGGTGCGTGCTGAAAGAAAGAATTGTTCTGTGCTTCTCTGCGAATGGTAATTAAAAAGCTCGACATGTACAATCACTAGAGGAGTTTGAAGTAATTTACAAAAGTAATTTTGCAAAAGTTCATTGTTTCTACTAATATGCGAAAAATGTGTATATTCTAGTAGCTTTATCAATTATCCTCAACGATTTATTTCGAATGTACTGTTTCTGTAGATGTAACTTAAAATTGTTAAATATATTTTTTGAAGTGTCCATTACATATGCATTATACATACACAGCGAATGTTATGTTTTTCTGTAGTCATAATTCTATTCGATGGCTTAAAATACTATAAAAACACAAGAAAAAGATGTTAAAAGTAATTTCTTGTAGAAGTTACTATGAGAAAACTTTATTTTCAGCGTAAGGTCCTTTTTATTGTACTTTATAATTTCTAATGTGAATATCTTGGACGCATAAGTTTTTAATAACTGAGATAGTACGGCGTAAATATTCTGCCATTTATAGTGTAGGCTGTTTTATAGTTTGTAATAGAATTTTGATTAATAATATTTATATATCATATATTCCAATGGAGGTATCTAGTATGCGTTGGCTTCCTATATATACTTGATGGCCCAGGATGTTATCAACCTTTTTTGTAACAAGAACATTCAGAAAGGGAATGCCATTCTCTATATCCATGGTAAACCGGATCCTTGGATATTGATTGTTGAGGAAGTTTAAGAGTTTATAAAGTTTCTAACTATCGTGTCTTCAGATTATGAATGTATTGTCTACATAATGGAACCAAATCTCTGTTTGCTGGGTGTCTTGCGAACTTTTTTCTTAAAGTGTTCCATAAAGATGTTCGCGATTATAAAAGAGATGTATTGGAGAATCCATAATCACCCCAGAAGTCTGTTTGCAGAATTGGCCGTTGTAGGAGAAGTGATTGTTAGATAGTGCTCAATTGAAGGGATGATTAGGGACTTTATGTGTGAGGTCTTAATTATAACCAGAGTTTCTTTGGCACCTTCGTGAAAAGTGATTCTACATCGAAGCTCATCAATATGTCTTCAGGATGAAGACGGATTTTTTGTATTTTTTGTGCAAAATTCATCGAGTTTGTGATATATGCGATTCGGATTCTTTCCTATCAGAGATTATAATTCACGAGCTAAAAAAATCATATATATATATAAGATTTTATGGCACTAATAATTGGTTTGAAAAGGATATCAGATTTATGTATTTTTGGCAGTTCACATAGTCTTGATGGAAGGGACTTTGTGGATTTCAATGTTGTTTCTTAGTTTTTTGCTGGGAACTCTATTTTTTTCTAATATTAAGACACTAATGTTCCGTATAATCTTGTTTGTTGGATCTTTATCCAGCCTGGTATATGTTTCGTTCGAAAAGAGGATCTTTATCTTCATTCTGTAGTCTGATGTGTTCATGACTGCCATCGTATTATCTTTGTCCGCTGGAAGTACGATGATGTCTGGGTCATTTCCTGAAGTGCCAGCCGTTCTTCTCTGGTGACTCTGGAGACTTGGTTTTGTGGAGGATATTAGCTACTTATGTCTATATATTATCTGTTGTATTCTATTATATGAAGATTATAGATGGTTGACTAATAATTTCTTCTTTTGGGATCCTATTAGGAATCATTACAAAATTGAGTCCCTTGGCCAATGCAGATCCAGCATTGGGCAACAAGCTCTTACTGGACGTATTATTGACCGCGTGGAGTAGAATCCGTTAAAGCCATTTGTGTGGACACATGATGCTGTATTTTTGCTTTTGCCATTCTGTGCACTGCGTGTGGATGCTCTGGGTTTGTTCGTAATGCGATCTAGGATTTGCCAAATGTCTTGTCGCAATGTGGATGAAAGGAGAAGATGGAGTTGAAAGGATTTCTGAGAAATCCTGTCTATTTGTGTCTTAGTGAAATGGATGCGTTCTTTGGTGGAACGCGTGCCTTCGGAGAAGTAGCTCGGTATCAGTGCGCTCCTCGCCCTGATGAAGTGACCGGCAAGGTTCACGAAACGTTGGCATTAGCAATGAATCACGACACAGCGATAACCCGCAAACCTTTTAGCACCTCTGAAGAAGATACCCGTAAAAGTCTCAAAAAATTTCCTTGTCCGAATATTTTTTGTACTTACTGTATATGTGTGTGTATGTCAGCACACAGATTATATTGATTTATGTACAAAGGCGCGCGCGCACGCGTTTTTTAATACTTTTTAGATGGATAAAATTGTAAATAAATTTTCGTGTCAAGTTTTGACATAAATGTGCGTTTATGTTGGCGATCTCGAATACAATTAAGTTACAAAAAAAAAAAAGATTTTACTTGTATATAAGATATTATTTATACAATATATACAAGAATATAATACAGGGTATCATTTAACGTAGCTTTTGAATGAGTTTAACGAAGATTTGTGCACGTAATCGTGCGGATGATATACCATTATTACTGGAAACTGCGTTTAAAAATTTAATTGCAGTCCGACGAAGTATTAGTTCGATAGTTGTAAATTTACGGCGTACTGCGGTTTCATTATTTCCACTGCAGTTCCCGCTATTTTCTCGGTCTCACTGCTATGTTGGCCACGAATTATGTTAAGCGACGAACGCGATCCGAATCTCCATTTGCATTCCAACTTCCTTTTTGTCGCGTCTGGCAGGTCTGGCAATCGGAAAGTCGCCATGCGTAAAAGATCAGGCGTAGTGGAGCGCAAATAATACTCTCCAATTAAGGGAGAAACCATGTGAGGGCCTCAGGGAAGAAATAGAGGTGCGTGCGTGCGTGCGTGCGTGCGTGCGTGCGTGCGTGCGTGCAGCGCTCGAAATGCGCTGGAAGTTAACAGTCCAGCTTCAAGAGTGACTTTGGTGTTGAGCAATGCAGGAGAAGATGAAACAGGAGGAGTCTGAGGAGCAAGAAGGACATGGAAGAGGGACGCAAAGTGGCTCGCGGGACGAAGGAAAGGAATTAACCAGACGCGGAATCCTCTCGCAAATTGAGTTGCACCAAGCCGGAATTTAAACATTCAAATTAACCTATTTAGCAAGTCAAAGAGGCTAATGTGTGCACGCCGGTTCCGCATGCCCCGCAGATCCTAATATTCAATCGATATTGCCTTGTATCTTGCCTATCGACTGCAAGCTGGTTGCGGTTTTTTTCTCACCCTCTTTCCTTCCCATTTATATCGATAGTTGTTCGATTTGCGACCAGAAACGCACCCTATATATCTCTTCTGCCGCAGAAATAGTTACATCGAAGATATGGAGTCTTTTTATTTTTTCTTTCTTTCTCTTTTTTTTTATCAAATTGATATAATATTCGTGAATAAGAAACAGGGAATACAATATTTATTGCTTGGCTGTACAGACTGTTACTTTGTAACATCGGCTTGTCGTAGTGATGTTTTCAAACATTCCAATTAATTCCTCCCTCGAAGCGAGCATTGTTTTACGCGAGATAAACGCGAAAGATCGTTCACGTTCGACAATCCGGTACGCAGTACGCGATGTCGATGCAAACCGCACGCGTAAACAAAGAGTGTCGCGCACGATATGTTACGATAATAACGCACGTTGCTTGGCATGACATGCATGAAAAAAAATATTGTACAGAAATCGATTCGTCAGTGAGTTTTTTTCTCTCCTCCGAGTTTTTCTGTATCTCCTCCGAGTTTTTTTATATCGGAATCCTCGATCATACTTGTTACGGTAATCCAGGTTGAACTATGCCTTTCAGTATAATTAGGTTGAATTATGCCTTTGAGTATAACAGAAAATTCTTAAAGATGGAAGGAAAATTGTTTGCTAACAGTCATTTCCTAAATTTCTAGCCAATGATGATATAGGCATATCGCCTCTCGCGCAAAAATTTTTCTCAAGTCCGCGAAGTCAGCGATTTCTGGACACTATAATCAAGAGCGTTGCTTTTTTATTATAAGTATGTCACTGAGAAGTTAGTTTATACTACGTTTCGTAGTTTTGTTTGTCATTAGCTTGATCGATTGCATGCGCGGTGAGCGTTTTCGTTTTTCAAAGTTTGGTTAACCAGCGTGAAATTAGCTATTAGAATACCGTTACATTGCAAATCACTAGTATCGTGGATTAGAAATTAATTGATTATTTAATTGAATAAGTAATATATTCTCTCATTTAAAAAAATGAAACAACTTAGAAAATACGAATTATTACCATGAATGGATACGATAAACATTACTCTATCAATTATTAAAAGCGAACTTAACTTAACTTCATAAAAAATACAATAGTTCACAAAAATGACATTTGATCGTGTTAAGAATATTTTTTTTTTGCCAATATTACTTGATTAATCGACAATTTTCTGTCAAGTTAAAAAGAAGTTTTTTCTCTTTTCTGAGAAACTTAATTTTATATAAAAGTATAAATAATTAATTCTTATCCAGCGCATTAATATTATAGTTATTCGTAACTTTATTACATAAAATATTACATCGTCATACATGATATATTCTTGTTTCTAAAACTTTTTGTAATTTACATTTTTTTTAGACATATCGTATGAGAACGATTCATGATTTGCGCAAGAAAAATATCAAAGTTCCTCTTTCTGTCGTCAAATTAAACAGTTCAGTAAACCTGCATCGTCTCAGCATTTAAAATCAACAGGAAAAAGTCATGATTTGATATATTTATATGCTTGCAACTCATACGTACATACGTTTATGCGTATCTGTGTATACGTTAGATTCTCAAAGGGGGCCACCGTGATCGTTTCATAGAGAGCTAATAAAAGGTACATGGGTGACAGAATCCAATAAAATCCTTATTCCTGAATCACACGGATGCCTGCTTTACCCGATTTCGAGAAGCAACTACAAATTTTCCATAGAACGACGTTCGAAGTCTTTGACAAACATAGAACGAAACACGAAGGAGTTCACTGGGGAAAAAGGGAAGGGAACTATGTCGGAAAAACATTTTATATATATATATATACACATATATGTATATATATATTTATAGAGTGTATTTGAAATGACACCTATTAATCATACAGTACTACTCCTAATAAAAAATTAAGTCGAAAAATCCTGTATCATTTTGCAATTTTTGCAATAATTAACGAGATATTAATTTCTAAAGATTGCCGAATAATAATATATAGATACATATACATTGCATATAAATGCAGGATAAAAATATTCAAAATTACCTTCAAGCTACACTACATTGAAAAAAAATTTACAAAATTTGAATAAATAT